ATGTTTGTTATCGATTTGCAGGTCCTTTTAACTATAAAGAACATGTGTGCATAGGCGCTGCGGCTTCTGCGGGTGGTTATGTTTTACCTGGTTATCCAATCGCAAATATATATTTTAAAACATACGGATATATGTCTTTGTATCAATGTTTGTTATTTGTTCAAGATCTAAAATTGGGTATACCTTTTTTTCCCTATCATTATATTATTATATATTATTATTTAATATTATTTATTTTTATAAAGGTCATTATATGAAAATCCCTCCAAAAAATATGTTCATATCACAAATATGGGGTACATTTGTTGGTGTAATTGTAAATTATTGGATATTACAACTTATAATCGATAAAAAAAGGTCTTACCTTGATGGTACAGAACAAGATCCAACAGGCCAAGTAAATATTTCTTTTTAAAAGTAATTTTATTCGACTCTTTAAATTTATTATTCTTCTAATTGTGCAGTGGACTGGCTTCTCATCTCAAATATTTAACACTGCATCTATAATATGGGGATTAATTGGTCCAGCAAGAACTTTTGGAGTATGTTAATTTAAATAAATATTACACTATTTATTATCAAATTCATGACTTATAAATCTATTCCTTCTTGTAATCTTCTCGTTCTTTTCTATAGCCTGACTCAATTTACAATAAACTCCTCTGGGGTTTTTTAATTGGCATCTTTTTGCCAGTACCATTTTACTTGCTTCATCTAAAATTTCCAAATGCAAAATTTAATCTTGTTAATACTCCCGTGATATTATTTGGTTTAACTTTTCTTCCCGAATATTATTCAAATTTCATAATTACTGGATTCATTGTTAGCTTTTTGAGTCAATTTTACGCTTTTCGTTACAAGAGACAGTAAGTCTATTTATTATTATTTTTATAAATATTTGATTTGGTTTAATAAAACTAAAATTTTTTATATTTTTTATAGGTGGTGGTTAAAGTAGGCTTTTTTTTTCCTTTATTTTTATTTATTTTTTATTTTTAATATATTTATCGCTATTCATTTTTATTGATGTTTTGATAGATATAATTATGTATTGGCTGCTGCATTTGATAGTGCTGCACAAATCCTTACAATGATAATTTTCTTTTGTCTCAATGGAGTTGCACATGTAGGCTGTTCATTTTTTAACATTTATGTATAAAATTAATTTTTATTTATCGCTTATGACTTATCCTTTATATATATGTATACTTTTTTTTTATCTTTCAGGTACCACCTCCAAATTGGTGGGGTAATGACCCGGCGTCTCAGGGTGAACATTGCTATTATAATAATTGAATAATGGGTAGTTTAACCTATCTGATGAATGATAAACATGATTTTTTTTTTTTTTTATGATTTTTATATTTTAATTAAAAATCTTCCTGCATATATATCATATTAAATACTTAATGTAACTTATATTAATTATATTTCGTGTAAATAACGCAAAAAATTCACATCCCGTTGGAGTGGCTGATCGTATAATAAAATTAAATATATTTATAGTCTCATTTGATTTTATAATAATAATAATAAATATTTTTTTTGATTGTGTTAAAAATCCAATGGATATCCGATTATTTTTATCCGGTGGATATTTTTTTACGGATATCCGAAATGTAATTTGTTCAATGGTTCGGATTAGAAACTATAAAGACAATATGTTTAAAAGCCTATTAAGATAAATCAGTGATGCAAATTGCCACCCAGTGAACAACTAACAATGCAGAGAATTTTATTATCACGAAACCAAGTTATTTAACCGAATTTATTTTTTATATAACATATAATGTATGAAATGCATTGTGTAATGTTTTCTGCGAAAAAAAAAAAAAAAAATGTTTATTATTTTTAACAAAAAAATTTATTTCAGTAGATTCATCGGGATTTAATGATGCCTGACGAATCGAATGATGGAACTTTCGTCAGAGACGAATGACGAAACCATTTCGTCAGGCAACTTCGATTTGACGAAATGACGAATGGCGAAACTAACGACGAATGACGAAACTCATGACGAATCATAAATTTTATATGTAATATAAGAATTTGGGCGTAATAAATTCAAAATAC